GTAAGAAATGGAGGAGCGTATCCTTTTCTATAGTAGAGGAGACCAAGGCTACATAGGTATGTTGCTTATGTGCTTTTCTTAACCTTTGGAGGGCCGGGATTTGAGAGGGCATATCCGTCTTAGTAAAGTGGTAAAAAAGGTATCTTATATCATGGATTGACCATACACTAAGTATCGATTAGCGCCAATATATTGGCTTTCCGGTCCGGAAGGGATCAGCCCGTATATAAAATTTCAAATTCGAAAAAAATACTTCTTTCACATCAATTTGTAAGTGTAAATATGCGTTTCCGATGTATTTTTCGACGTAGAATCCAAATCTGATGTCAAAAATACAATAAACCTGAAAACAACCCCTATAAAATTACAAAAACTACCCCTTTTATCACGTAATTTTAATTTTTTTTATTTGAAAGTGCAGATATTAAAAATTAATATTAAAAATTGCTAATAATATTAAGAAAATGAATATTTAATAAAAAAAAATTGAACAAGTTATTCTGGTGCGCCAAAATATTGGTTTTCCGGACCTCTAAAGGTTAATATTTGTCTTGAGAGGAATAATGGATACAAAAACGCGAAATGGTCCCTTTAGAACATAAATATTTTTCCCTGAGTTTCATTAAAGGGATATAATATTATAGTTAAGAAATAGAAAAAACTCATTTCGTAATAACAAAGTAAATTTTCAAGCCTCTCGAAATTTTCTGTTAATATTCTCCATCGTGACTGAATAAAATTAAACGTTGTGTTATTAGCTAAAATGCCTAGATCTCCTCTATAGCTCGCTTGTATCATGTCGACTGTACGAGATGGCTTGTGATGGAAACACGTAATATTTATAAACATTTTTTCAAAATTGGACGCAGTGAGCAAATTTTCTCTTGTCTCCACTCCTATTGAACCGTTAGGATTTCTGATTGCAATCTCTCTTTAGTTGTAAGAAATGTTATGGGTTTAGCTAATTTTTTCTGCGTTTAGCACAGTCTATAATCTCTCTTATTGCAAATGACCGTGCGGGTTAAGTTGACTCAAATTAAGTGGGATTATTTGTCACGCGTTGCGAGCCCGTCACATAGCTATGACGTGACTTACGCAAGAGCATGGAAGCATACGCAATAATGTATTATGTTATACATATTGCAACAGTCAGTCTGTGTCTTTTATATATATGTAGAAAGAAAGAGAGAGAGAGCGAGAGAGAAAGAGAGAGAGAGGGAGAGCTCCAAGTTATCATTACAAAGTTTGTGAGAATTATTATCCTCTTAGTTCAACGATATTTATGCCTGATCATAAGATATCACTAACTTTAATAAAACGTTTAAGATCTTAAAACAGAAATAATTTGTCATGTTTCCTTTACATAAAAGACATGTGACAAACAGTTCGAGGTACGAATTACATTTGCACGCGACTTTGCTTAGAATTTAATAATCTTTTTGTGTGTAAATATATATATATATATATATATATATATATATATATATATATATATATAAGGATATTTTCTTTCCTTTACCTAAAGAGTGTAATACTTGTATGTGAAAAAATGTACACGATATTAAAAAATATGGCATATTAAAAAATATGTACATTTTTTCCTTTTAATTGATATGACAACCAGACCTGGTTGTCTCTCTTTCACTATAATCCCCGACACCAAGAAGTCGCTCCCTGAATCCTCGAACTGACGATATTCCAGTGAGTTACGGCGACTTGAGGACTTGGTGATCGCGCGGGTACGCGTTTACGCGACGCACGTGGTACCGTCGATGAAGTTCCAACGAAATCTCTACTTTCGTGGCACGCACCTCCTACGGTGTATAGAGAAACCGAGAGAAGGCTTGGTACACAAAGCCATGTCTGTTCGCCAGATGTGCCCACCGAAATTTTCGGCCGGTCGCGGTTCTCTTTGACCCCTGCGGCCTCGGCTCGACTTTCGACGTTTGAGGGAAAATCGACATTTTTATTGTTCGAAACAATAAACGAGCCACTGCCATACGTGTTCTCCTAATTTCTCCCTTCGTTCACCAAACAACCGACACCGTAGTAGTAAGGCTGGGATTACGTCGTAGAGGATTTCGTAATCTGGTGGAACGTAGAAACGGCGGTGACGAAGACGACGAGTCGAGATGCTGGATGTTTTTAAGACTTTCACACAGAAATGCCCGTAATCGTAAACGTAAGACGTATTAAACTAAAGAACTCAGGATATTTTAATTCATTTAATCGAACAATTTAATCTAATAATTATAGCAAATATTGGTGAAATAATAGTCCTTCCAGTGCTTCAATTAGAAACATTTTTACCAATTCACTTCAAGAGAGCACCTTTCTGGTTTCCCACGTCGACTGACAATACCAAAAAAGTTAAAGAAAAAGTGTCATTAGGCAAAATGAGCGGAAAACTCGTCGCAGTTGCTGTCTCCTGTGACTGAACGTCTCGATAACACAACTCACGCACACGACGTCGTAGAATGCCGTTGAAGTCGCGACGCGCTGGTGGAAATTCGCGAAATTATGCACCGGCGAAACCCTCGGACTTTCGCATGCGACACTCGATCCCAGTGTATTTCCACTCACATCGCACTCCTGTTCTTCGCGGCTACGATTCAATTATCAGCTTTTCCCGACGAACTCGTACGTGCGCGCCGTCGTCGGCGGGACGCCTCGCGCATATGTATCGCGTGTTAGCTATTTAAGTCGAAACCGCGCTGACACTTTGTTGCCGATTAATGTTCAACGGGTGGCAGAGAAGGGGCAGAGTGGCAGACGTGACTGCCACGATCGCCTCTGGCGCGGTCGCCAAAACTGCAAACCGGCCGGTCGGTATCCACGGAAGCGCGTGCGTGCGGCAATTAATAAGCGCCAGCATGACGATAATTATATCCCGCGCGGAACGTAATTACCGCGGCGGCGTGTGCCGACGGTCGTTTATCGTGGCGGAGAGAAATCACTCGTCACTGATAGCGGCGTCCGCAATTGCGCGACCAACCTCTGTCATTCGCCGCAGGATCTTTCGCTCACACTTAACCCTTTCGCTACTAACGGGGCTACACGTCTTCCCTAGCATTAATAGTAATCTTATTCGAGGGAATAAACTTCTTCCTTGGCATTTTGTTCAGAGCTTTTTAACATCTTTTGAGATTTCCGTTCTCTGAAATTCACAATTGAGGTTCTTCGACCTCAGCACAGCGATTGAAAATTTAAAATGTGATATAACGAATACTATTGCAAATACATGTTCACCATAAAATTCCACAAAAAAAAGTTAAATTTCGCCGCATGATTGACAGATGTCATATTTATATTCGCTGCTGTCATATTTATATTTCGAATGGCAGAATTTTTATTATCATTTTCAGTGATTTTTAACTCGATTTCTTTACAAGAAATTTGAGTAAGTTTCTTTGATCTCAGCATTATATGCTCGAATATTAGAAATATAATGAACATTATTGCGAATAAATCTTCATAAAATTTCACAAAAAAAAAAGAAAAACCCCATTATACATGATTGACAGATGTCATATTTATGTCACATTAAAATGAAATTATCTTCTGATTTCAATAAATTCCCGGCGAAATTGAGCCTGAGTGAAATATTCGCTTTTATAATTCCGAGTGGCAAGTATTGCGCTATCTTATCGAGTGATTTTTCATTGGTTTCAAGACTTCACTGCGAGCGATTCAAAGCGAATGCCTTCGGTCTCGGTACGATCGGAAGTTCATCATCGATCAAATCCGAGCGGCACATGCATCAATCGATTCTCAACAGCTGCGGACGACTCCTCCGGCATCTCGCGGACCGACGTGCTCCTTTTTCTCATTCGTACTTCCGCTTTCGCCCGTTCGCTTTTACCAGCTTCCTCGTGGCCGTTGCGCGCGTTCCCCGGCGCTTCTTCCACGCGCTATTTTTCACGTGGCGCGCGATCCGCGCTTGCCACGCTTGTGTTGGTTCCTTTTTCAATACGAAAATACAGCGGCGTCGGCGATGATGCTGCAGACTTCCTTTACAAATCTGCGGCTCGCTACGAGGCTCGCGCGCGTACCAGCCGCGTCGTCTCTCGCGGCATTCGCTAGTTCCGATTTTACACACGTCGGAGAATTTACTGTGACGAGGGGAAGGGGGTGCATCGTAACCCGAGTGATAACGAAGCTCACTCGCTGACGACGATTCCGGTTTCTCGGCATTTCTAGCTTCGCGATATCTGTATTGTATTTTTAGATGAGCCTATGGAATTTCTATTGCGCGCAATTACGCCTTCGCTTGCCCTCGCGAGAGCGTTCCCAGAAGACGTCGTGAGGGCGCTTCTTTGAATTAACGGGCCTCGAAATATAATTCGACTAAATCATTAATAACCGCGCGTTCTACGAATTAATAACTCGCGGACGTGAGTCAGTTGTGTCGCGACTTGAAATTGATTGCGCTTCGTTTTGCGCGGCACAGATTCTCAAGGAAGTGTCTTCCTTGAGACACACACATATCCACAACAAGATGTCAGATATTATTATCGTGTCGGACATTATTATCCTGTCAGACATTATGATTTTCCCATTAAAAGTTTTAGGTGTTTTGCACCAGCAACCGCGGTTGCAACGTATATCACTTTGTGAGGATTATTTGTAAGGTTAAGACTATCTTCTAAGAATCTTCTAAGAATAAGAGGAATAAGAGGATATCCTCTAAGAATAAGAACATGATATTTTTTCGGGCGCAATCCGACAGATATCGTAATTCTTTCAAGATATGTATGTAATTAAAAAATAAATAAATGAAGAAATCAACACGTTGACTTCCACTGATTATCTCAATGCTCAACTCAACTCTGACTCGCCAAAGATAAGATAAATAAATGCAATTCGCGATGCATATACACGCGTTGGCGCGTTTCACTGGCTCTTATCGGCTACATATTAAATTTGTTATGTCACGTATATACAGTCGGTTACGTTTTTATCGCCACGGAAGTCAGCGTGTTAAAGTCGTGTCGTCTCACCTAGCCGAGCAACTCGCGCTAGTCCGGCATCCAGGATCTCGAGGAGCATCAGGAGAACAGGGTAGACCCACATCGCCATTTCGATTCGTTCGACACCGGGTATGTGCAGCTAGTGTGATCGTGGCATTGGGGACTTCCTGAAACAGAAACCGTGTGGAGAGTTTATTTACCTTTCCTTCGCTCTCTCACTCTCTCGCGTGCAGCACGATCGAGTAACACGCACAGATTCTTTCGGCGATGACTCTTTCGAAAACAACGGAAGCGATGATTCTCTTCTAATCGGACAATCACCGCGCAGATATGACGCAAAAAAAAAAGAGAGGAGAGAAGAGATGATACAGGCCTTAGTCGAGTCGACGAAGATCGAAAATAAATCGAGAGGAACGTTCGACGTTCCCGCGAGTCTCGTTGGCAAATCTTCGTCGTGACTCTAACCGGTTCTCCCCCACGATTGAACAAAAGAGAGAAGTAATCATTTAAGACAGTAGAAAAGCTGAGAGACGCCAAGTAGTCAGTAAAGAAGCCGCGCCATTGCGACGAATTATTAATAATGGCGAAGCAAAATGCTCGTTCCCTTCCACGTTTCGTCCTTTTCTTCGGTCGCCCGACCTCGTCGTATTTTTCTCTGTTTCGCGAAGAGAGAAAGAGAGAAAAGAGAGAGAGAGAGAGAGAGAGAGAGAGTCTCTCCACACTGGCCGACGGCCAAAGCCGAAAACATGGTGCACTCGCCGAGGACAAGCGACCAACGGTTTTAGACACGACGACCACGTTGAAATACGGCCCTGAAGAGTGCGGACGCGTGCGTGCGGATCGACGCGACTTTACGCACGTGCTTCCCATACCGACGCATTCGCCGACCGATCTAATGCGACGTTAAATCGCCGACATCGTAAATTAGTCCCGATCAACACAGTATCAATTAATTTTTCCTCGTATGATTCGACCGACGCGGAAAAATGACGAACGATAAGAACGAGTCAATTTGCACGAGAGCGTGCGACGCAATTGCAGAAGAAAGTGACTCATAATAAAGGAGAAATTAATAAACGGAATAAATCAGAGCTATCTTGATTGACAAACAATACTCTTGAGGCGAACCTACATGAAAAAAAAAGATTTCGTTGAATTAACCAAATATCTGGTCGAATATGAACGATCCAGAAATCCCGATTGAAGTAACCCGAATTCTGTTTAAGTTAACAAAATTTTTGGCAGACTAACCAAACATGTTTGGTTATTTAACTAGACATGGTTAAATAACCAGACATGTTTGATTAATCTCCCAAAAATCTTGTTAACTTAAACAGAATTCGGGTTACTTCAATCGGAATTTCTGAATCGTTCATATTCGACCAGATATTTGGTTGATTCAACCAGATCTTTTTTTTTCGTGTAAATATAAAGTCTTTCTTAGAATTTGGACTTTCATTCAAAACGAGTGCAAGGTGGCAGTATTTTCACTCAAAATAGAGCGATAGTGAATTAATGTTTCGCTCAAACTTGGAATGAATTCTGATTTCACATGAGTAAATGTTTTAATCGATTAAAGTGAATATGTTTTTGTGACGATAGAGTATAACGTCAAATAAAGGATTTTCAATCTTTAGACATTAAAGCATAAAGTCAAAAATCGTACCCAAGTAGAACAAAAAATTACGTTGACGTGAAAATGACGCGAAAATTAAATTGTGATCAAAAAGTGAGTTTTTAGTCACTTTCTGTTGTGAGTCATTTTCTCGCCATTATGACACATTACTTTCCGTTGTGAGTCATTTTCTCGTCATTTTGACACATCATCCTGATTTTTTGTTCCGTCTGGGTACAGTCTAAAGCTTGATCTATAATGTGTTATTTGTCTCTTGTTTCTTTTTCTTTATCCCTTTTTGACTCATACCTTAAACCTTTAACTAAAAAAAAGACAGAAAACAAGAAATAGGAAGTAAAGAGCACATTGCAGATTAGGCTTAAGGAAGGTCCAAGCATTTTTGGCTCTTCGTTTATGTCAGATCCAATTTCAAGTAGAAATATTTACTCGACGATTTAGAATGAAGAATTCATTCTATACGAATAAAAAATGACTCTAGTAACTCTGTGCCTATTTTTCTAATAAAATTTTATTCTAAGAACTTACAAGTTACTTGTACAAAGAACCTTACTTGTAATTAGAGCATGTGCATGAGTTTTATAGTTGATGAAACAAACCAAAAGCGTTGTTTTCAATCAATATATAAGTCAAGATAATTTAAATCGACATAATTACTAAGTCTAGATGTTTCGATCTTTCTGTGAACCCTCATCAATAGCAGAAAACAAAAGTCTAATCACATAAAACAGGTTAGCTATGGTGATTACGATGAAATGATAACAGTAAAAGATACACGAGTGTGTTGATAACATAGAATGAGAAGTGAGATCGTATACGAGATTCAGTGGCAGACGTGACAGTGCGAGAGTATTTATTTTTAATAGACGACGACGCGCGCACACGCTGTCTGTTTTCCCGCGCTGCCGTTAATGGCCGTCGAGAATGAGACTTGAGAGCGACGGATTGTTTTCCTTGAGACACCCTAACGACCATGCGGACACGTCTTCCGCTATCTACCAAAGGAATGGAGAAAGACAAGGAGAGACAAAGAGAGAGAGAGAGGGAGAGTGGACGGGAGAGGGAGAGAGAAAAAACGAGACTCCAGAAGAAGAATACGCGCCTGTGTAAAAGCTGATGGGGGAAGAAGAAATGACGAATCCGGCGAGCGACGATTAATAACCGACCCTCGGCTCTCGAGGGGGCCGTGGAATCTCACGGATTTCTTAGTGTCGAGCTCGCCCGACGTTCCTTCGGGACGTCGGCCCCCATCACCTGTTGCATCGATGAAAAAGAGAAATGTGTACACCCTCGCTGCCGTCGAAATTCGTCGATGCTTTTCGTTCTGTCGCCCCCTTCCCTCCCCCCTCTCTCTCTCTCTCTCTCTCTCTCTCTCTCTCTCTCTCTCTCTCAACTCTCGCCGCCAGTATCGTTGTCAGAAAGTTTTCCCCAGAGCAGGCCAGAAAAAGGCTCGTAACAGGAGAAGCAGGCAGCCGGTAATATGAAGTAGAAAAACGTTGTCCTCGACAACCCCGAAACGATTTAGTTTGCGAACCATTCGAAGAAACCTGGCGACCACAGATTGTCGAGATAAAAAATCTCAGAAATAATAGTCGCAGAGTCGATAACAATGAGTATTTTTTATAGAATAGTTACGTCAGTTCGTACCTGTTTGTTTGTTTACCAGATCAATTCCCGGAAAGAAATAAAAAAGTATTAGTCACCCGGTGAAACGCGTAGGATTCACATGAGACCTCGAAAGGTCGGCCAGCAGGTTTATTCTGTGACTTACGACGACAATGTTATCGTCAAATTCGTCGTTTCGGTACGATATACGGTAGAAAAGTCTGCGCAGTGACTACGTAAACGATAACTACATTGTCTGTCATGAACTAGCACAGTCATCTCAGTGAAGAGTATACTGATTGTACTTTAGATAATACTTGCCTGCGCCTATTGTTTTCTTATTTAGACTGGATATCATGGGAATCCTTATTGATTTGATTGATCGATCGATTGCGGATAATGGATTAAGATATACAGGGTGTTGAAAAAAAAGGGTCACATATTTTGATAGCAGATAGTATTGATCAAAACAAGAAGAAAAGTTCTAATTAACATGGGTCCTAAGACTAATATCTTCTAAGATACAAGCTATTTTGTTATTTGAGCTCTTTGTCATTTTCTTATTAGTCGTGTCATCCTTAGAATGCAATGAACAAAGGAGTAGGGGAGGGTGGGGTACAATGGGGATATCTTTTTTCTAGGTGCCTTAAAAAATAAAAAATTAACAAAGAGAGATAAAGAAACAATTTTTATTTTAATATGAAATGTAATCATTTATCTTCCATAAAAAAACTGAAGTAAAGAAACTGAATGTATGATAACAAAATAAAAACTCTTTTTTTACAAAAAACAAAAAATTTTAATGCTGACTCAGCATTAGAGGAGGTGCTCTATGTGATTGCCATTCACTCTCACGCATGTTTCAGCCCTACGTCTTAGAGAATCACGCACTCTTTCAAATCACTCTAACTTCATTTCTCTCTCCTGATATTTACGTTTAGTTCGCAATTTCATATTAAAATTTCACATTAACATTTCATATTAAAATAAAAATTGTTTCTTTATCTCTCTTTGTTAATTGTTTATTTTTTAAGGCACTTAAAAAAAAGATATCCCCATTGTACCTCACTGTCCCCTACTCCTTTGTTCATTACATTCTAAAGATGACACGACTAATAAGAAAATGACAAAGAGCTCAAATAACAAAATAGCTTGTATCTTAAAAGATATTAGTCTTAGGACCCATGTTAGTTAGAGCTTTTCTTCTCGTTTTGATCAATACTATCTGCTATCAAAATATGTGACCCTTTTTTTTCAACACCCTGTATATGTATATGTTATTAACATGTGAAATATGTTAAGGACGGATGGATTACGTTAATATGTTAACCCACTTAATAAATATTTGTTAATTTTTAAATATTTTTTTCTCAGTGCAAAGTCGGAGAGTCTTCACTGAAAATCGACGAATACTCACTCATCATCAGCGAAATATTTCTTTTATCGATTCACTTTAAGAGAGTAACGTAATAATTTCCAGAACGACACTGTCGTTTTCAAAGTTGCAAGATTGGTTTACTGAAGTTGGTATAAAAGCGAATGTCACGTTTCACGAATTAAAATACTTTCGCGCGGATACTCTCGTTCGCGCGTATTCCGCCGACTGGCATTCGGGCGGGAATAAATCGGACGAGATCGCTCGCGAAAATATGCGCGCGTCGCCAATATTAGAGAAATTTCATATTTCGGTGCAACGTCGCACTAATAATTCGGCGATTTTAGTAACGCGTGGGTCGCGGAATTTCGAGCAACGTCGAGCATTCGTCCATCGCCCACGAAGCAGCCCGAAAAGGGCTAAGTTATTGCAGTTTATAAATAACTGATCGTATTTTCTTATTAGTTCAGTTATTGGAACATTTACTTTACCTGCCGAGAAAGATCCTCCAGGAGATTACTATTCAATCAATTGCTTTGACTTATCTCAACCGA